TTTTCAAGTCTGCACAGAAGTCCACTCAGGGACGCCACCGTCCCAAACTGGAATCCGAAGGGACACCGTTCCGAAAAGGTTGACCTTAACCAGTGTGGGCATTTTCAACTGAAGTCAGGATGGGGAACAAAACCTCTAAAAACGGTGTCCTGACATTTTCCGATGGCCGTGTCACTTCAAAGACTGAAATGAAGAGAGAAGCTCAAGGGAGTGTAGTTCTTATTCAGGAAGCAAAATCTAGTCCAGTTAGAAAAGTCTTCAATGTTAAGGCTGAGAGATAGTAACTCAAACTGGAAGGCGGTTGCCCTAGATGATGGCTGCAGTTGTGGAGTCTGCGTCCATTCCGTGAGTCCACGGTCACGCTTAGAGAACTTCCTATTGTCCCTTCCCTACTTGTCACCCAGCAGAGGTGGCCCCGCCGGTTCCCCCATTCCCTGAGGCAGAGGTGGGAGCTGATCACGCTGTGGGAAGCCCTGGGAATCAGGCGGCCGTAAGAGGTGTGATCTCTCCCTCCCAGGAAACAGTCCCAGAGGTGATGCATCAGCTGAGACAGAAACCCCAGGCTGGATGGATCTGGCAGCTGGCTGTCCCCTACCTTCCCGGAGCTGTTCAACAGAAACTCCTGCTATGGCAGAAATGTTCCTGTAGCTGTTTGTGGCTACTGAGCACTTGGCCTGTGGCTAGTGTGCCACCAGGAACTAAAGTTTTAATTTTGTTTAAATTAATCTACATTGAAATAGCTTCATGAGGCCAGGGATTTCCTCGATAGCGTCATAATGGCCCGATTAAAGTATGAATATAGCTCCTTGAGGAATGTGTTAAAAATACAGATTGCCAGGCCCTGCAGCTGGAGATTCTGATTCAGCAGGGAGCAGTGGGGGCAGGGGTCTGTCTGCCGTTTTTAATAAGCTCCCCGGGTTGTTCTGATGCTGGTGGTCCCAAAACGATGCCCGGGACTTGAAGGAGGGTGAGAGTCTCTGATCTGCTCCTGGTAAAGAGGCATGCCACTTCAAGGAGACAGAAACTAGGAAGGACAGGGGACGGGGCTTGGGAGTGAGCCTGGAGGCCACAGGCATCCCCACTAGGATCCCACCCAGAATTTACGCGAAGCTCTGATGTGGCCTTGGGTCGCGACAGCTATTCAGATACTCTCAAAGCCATGGCCACGGCCTTGCCGTGTTCCGCCTTGCCCAGGCTCTCGAGCTCCCAGCCCCCAGACACTGCTGTACCAGTCAGGAGCAAATATCCACGGCTCCCATAGAAAATGCCACGCTCAGTTCCACGTGATAACCCTCCCCAGGTCACTTCCAAACTAGATTCTGTTAGGCCCAAATGTCCACCCTCCTCTGAGAGTCTGAGGACCACACCCACAATAAGCCACGTCCCTGACCACCGCTCAAAGGGCAAGGTCTTGGTTCGTCTTTAGGGTCCCCTCTGATGAGCGAAGGCATCGCTGTTCTGGCCTTTCGTGTCCACACACTGGCCTGCACACCCTCCCTTCCCTACGCCACGTGTGCAATTGCTCATCGATTTCTGTCCATTCTCTCCTGAGCGTTCACCAACTGTTTACTCCTTTCTACAGCCCGGGGAGAAAGAGTTTCGGTCAAAGATGCGCTCGTGCAGAGCACCTGCTTTGGGGCTGGCCTGACAGTCCGCGGGGGCCACGTGGAGACAGGCGTCATACAGCGGGTGCCCGCAGGTCCCTGTCCCTGGCACACAGCGACACTGAGGAACGTTCTCCACGGAAGCCTACACTTTCTTTCCACGTTCAATTATGGCTCCACAGACACAGACCTTAAGTGAGCAGCGCCCGATCTCCGCACAAACTAGAGATGCTGGAAGGAAAAGAAATGAGAGTCTCCAAAACGACTGTGTGACATGAGCTCGGCTCCACTTCCTGGCGGGGTGGGGGCGGGGGGAGGTTGCAGGAGGGGCTTCTGAGAGGGGGTCGCCGGGGCGACTCTTTCGGCTTTAACTTCAGGTTATGGCTCTGATGATTTAAGGGGCCGAGGCCACCATCGACTTCAGTCTTGATTTCTAAGCAGGTTTTTCATTAACACAGATTTCTGGATCGTTAAATCCCCAATATTCGGAGGGTAGAGCTGCTTCTCCCTTTGAAAGCTGAGCGAGGCCCCCCTAAAATGCAGCATTTCCTCCTTATGAGCAATAAATACTTCGACCTTCTTCTCTTCAAACATATTTAAGTTTTTGCAGCAGCTTTTCCCCGCTTCGATGTAAAAAGTTCTAATTTTAAACAATATTTTCTTGTTGTGGAACGTGAAGACAGTAAGGAAAGCCAGCACCTTCTATAATCTTACTCCTCAGACAGATGTACGCGTGTCTCATTTAAAATGCAAACTGTTACCTAACATGCTATTTACATGGATTATATCATGAATGTTTTCATAATGAGGATCTCAAGCACCCTCCTTCATTGCTGTGTTGTGCTTTATTTCGGAACTGAGTGGTAATTTACTTAATCTCCTACTGATGCATTTTGAGGTAAAACATTCTGCAGTGAACATCTGTGCACACAGGGCTGCTTCCCAGCCTGTAGCACTGAAGCAGGGTACCAACCAGCCGACCTGCTGATTGGTCAGACTCTCCACTGTGCTGGTTGATAAATATTGAAATGACTCTTGCTTGCACTTTGATGTTTGGGTGCCTGTAGCTTCATGTGGATAATTTCTCTAATTGGATACGTTGGGCCAAAGGCTATGCAAAGTAAAAATTCTATTTCGTACTGATCATTAATTACTTTTTGAGTCCGACAGCATTCAGAGCTAGTAGCATACAAGCATTTCACTTTACTTATAAAACAGATTTTTCAGTATTCACGGTCTCAAAAACGAAGTCCATATAAAACAGACATGTAAACTTTTTCCAAAATATTGTTATGTTGAAGTATTTTGGGGAATGCTTTATTAAAATAATAATATTGGCATGCTCTAATTATAAAAAAATGTCCTTTTTATCAGAATGAAATCTCTACAATTGGTACAAGTAGTATGATTAAAATAAAGCTATAGAAGGTTCTAGTAAACATTCTCCATCTATTTCCTAAAATGTAGGTTGACAGTAAGGTTGGGAAGAGAGGAATAAATCAGAAAGAGAGAGTTTTTGTGCTTTCAGTGTTTCTGATTTTGAGATCATTTTGTGAAAGACCCAAAATCAGGAATGAGCAAATTGAAATGCCTTTTAAAATGATCTTATATACAAATTAGCCACTGCCTGGTAGTCAACATGCATTAGGCTCTGCCCCTTAATGAAAGGTAAATCATTTTCAGAGAGAACCATGAACAAGGCTATTAAGCCATTTTTTAGACTCAAAGGACCAGAGGGCTCTACGAAGGGCGTTTTGATATGAAAAAGTGTGTCTATCATAAAGCCAAATGAAGAAGTAGGGTGAATTTCACGCAGACCACGATGGGAACTTGGAAGACATAGATACGCACCTGACTTACAAGAAAAAAAGCTGAATGAACATCCACAAAATCTTAACCAGGATTGGGTCTGGTAGTAGGGGCTCATTTTTTTCTTTTTGGTCTTTCCTTTGTTCCTTTTTTTTCTGACAGCGCTGGACATGTATCCCTTTTGCAGCAAAAACAAATAACTGAGGATTCTATTCAGTCTTTTTCTGCTCCTCTACCTGCAATCGTCAGTCTGAAGGTGCCGGATCGGCCCCACTCATGCTCTCTGCCATAGCCCTCCGTAGGAAAGACGCTTCCCAAATCCAACTGCCAGTCCCAAACCTCCATGGAGGAAACGCTCGCCCACCGGGAGCCTTATTTTCTTTTGCTCTTTCAAAGAATACCTAGTTTTATCCACTGAGATGTTTTCAAAACCACATACGAACAGAAATGCACAAAACTTAAAATGGCCCACAATACTCTTACATAAATAAAGAGCCTGAAAATATTTCCTGTGCTAAGAGAGACGTATCGGAATCAACATACAGGTTTCTGTTCAGCTCCCTGATTACCCAAGATGTGTGCCTGATAAGGTCATCAGGTCACGAGGGGGACCGAAAGCCCACACACTCCTCCCGAAAGCGCGGTGGGGACGGGTACCTATGCAAGAAATACCAAGCGGCAGGATTTGGGGTCTAGATATCGCTGGCGGGACTCATTCCAGTGAGGCCGTCATTTCAGCAAAGTGAAACTAAACAGAAACAAAGGAAACCCCAGCATTTCACTGACAGGTGAGGCCAAGGAACCGGTAGTTTTGGAAACAGGACCTGGGAACTTGACTTGTAGCTTTAAGTACAGAATGCTTATAAGACGAGCTTCATTATTTTCTGGTCCTAATCGGCCAGAATAGTGAGGGGTTCTTTAGATCTGGGGAGATCCATAACCCACAGGGACAGCCATGCTGTGTAAAAGACGACTTCTGCCTTAAAGCTGACGGTTTTATACTGGGAAAACAGACAAAATATGTAACAATACCCACGTGCTCCAGAAACAAATATAATACCATTTTCTGGAAATTTATATAATTTTGCAAAAAAAAAAAGGGGGGGGGCTAAATTTTAAATAAAAAGATAAAATAAATACTTTATACCACTGGAGACAAACTTGGGAAGATAAAATAAACTCTAGGAATTTCTCAGGGAGAAAAGCATTTCTCTCCAGCTGAAGCTGTCTGTCCTTATATAACCCAGGAATTGCCAAGAGTCAACTAATTACAGAACACCATATTGGAACAGAAAGGGGATGCTTAAATGTGATCCTTAAAAAATCAGGCTTTGGAAAAAAAGAAACATCCGAGCTATGAGAAAAACCAGCTGAGTTAGAAAGTGCTTTTCTAGAGCGACAAAAAGTTTTAATTTTCCTTCGGATCATTGTTTGAAGTTAATTCCAGCCTCGAATCCAAATCTGCATCACGAACCCACGTGCTCAGCCCTGCTTCTCCAAATGCCGACATTCATCACACAGCACGTTCAGTCCACACGTTCCTAACTTTCCCCCATCATGCAACGAACGAGAATTAATGGGACTCACTCGTTTCTTTCCAGATTTACGATCAGCTCTCTGTTTTCCAGTTGTATTCGAAAATTCAACACTTCTGGATGATTCTGAAAGATAAATAAGAAAAGACAGTTGAAAAAATATTTCACTTTGACTTGCTGGTAACAGAATCGGCTCCACAGACATATTCAGTGGACGGAGAGAATGGGGACCATTCTGAGACCCCAAGTGGAGGAGACCAGGACGGCAGGACAAGTCTGGAAAAATGCGTCACCCTCCTAGATGGCCCCGGCGTGACCCGTGCTCCAGCCTTTGCAATCTCTCCCTTCGGCCACACACCTGTGGCGCTCTCCTGGATTCTACCCCTCTCTCCCACGATCGACTCCTTCCTCGGTCTCCCCACCTCTACACAGGGCACCCTCTTTTCCCCAACTGCTCACGCCAGGAATCTGAGGTCCCCCTTGCAACCCCCCTTCCCTCACCGGCTCCACCTGACCCAGGAACTGGTCCTGCTGCGCTGCCCTGTGACACACAGCTCCCGTTGTCCTGGTGACGCCTCAGCACTGGCTCGGGCTCGGGCTCAGACCTGTCTTCTCTCACCTGGATTACCGCAAATCCTTTCTACCCCGGGCCTCTCCATGTCTCCCTGAGTTTCCCCCCTCCCCGATTCATTCTCCAATGGCAGTGGAAGGCGATCTCTACACCGACAACCTCGTCCGCCCGCCCTGCTTGTCAGGAGCCACTGGATGGTACGATGCCAGCTCCTAACGGGGCCCTCGCCTCGCCCCACACCCACTCCGCTTTCCTCCTCCCTCACCTGGCTCTAGTCTCACCGGCCTCGCCCGCTCCTCAGACACGCCCACCTCCTCCGCAGCCCCGGGTCCTTGCACCTGTCGTCCCCTCCACCTGGACCGCGGCCCTCCCAGCTCGTCTCGGTACCGGCTTCAATGTGGATAATTCCGAGAAGCCCCACCTCGCTCCCCGATCCATGTGCACCCTCTCCCCCACCCGAGGGTGTCCTCTCCTCCAGTCTCCTGTCCTCTTCCTCCCTGTGAGGAAGAATTTCCTTCCTACTTGTGATAATTCGGTATGCTCATTCGTGGGTCCACTTGTTAACATGTCCGCAAAGGAGCCAGACTAATGACAGAAGCTCGATTAATATTTGGTGAATGAAGGAATGAGTGAATCAGGCCAACAGCCCTACTAAATTCCTCTTCCTCTCGCTAGGCAGACGCCCTCCCTCTCATCTCCCTTGGGTCCCTGGAAGCCCCAGCCATGTGTCAGTGCGGAGCAAACACCTATTCTCTGTTCTGCCCCGGAAGTTCTTGCCCTAAGAACACACCCCGGTCGCAGGTCCCTTAACCCACACCCCTTCCCCCAGTTCTCTCCAGCCTAAACCTGGGTGGTCCGATATGCCACACACACCCCTGCTGAGCTGAGTCCTTGCCCAGGACAAATCTATCAGCCGCCCCCAGCGTACTCGAACGGAGCCCCCACTGCTGCCCTCCTCCGTGTTCCCTCAGTGACTCTGGGGACTGGCCGTCAAGGGCAGCTCTCCCTCACCCAGGCCGACATGCCTCACATGGGGGCTCTCCATATCCACGGGGCATTTCTCACTCAGAGAACTGAACATTTTTAATGTTTATTTTTAAAAACGAATGCTGTGTTCCCTTCTGATCACGTGTTAAGAGCGCTCAGCTGGCCTCAGTGTTTGGCCCGATGATGTGGCCTGCTTGCCCAGGATGAGGTGACGGGGCAGGGCGGGGGTGACTTCACAAAGCTTGCAGTCAACCTACAGAGCGGAGCTCCAAAGGCCATCACAGCCCAGGGCAGAAATTTAGATTCCTTAGCGGCTTGAAAACAACGAAGTGCTGTTCAAATGCAAGTAATATATTATCATGTCGCAACCATAATCGGGGGCAAAAAAAACCCCCTCATGGAATTGTACAATGTAAATATGAACAACTAATTGTCTCCTATATTTCAATAAAGCCAGGAAAAAAGAAAAAGGGAGCGTTGGGTCACACCCGGAACTGGTACCTCAGACTCAGGCACACCTGGCCGCCACAGTCGGCACTGTGTTAGTGACACAAGTGGCCCTTCAGCCTTTTACACACGTCGTCACCACCCACAAACGTGCATTCGACTGCATCGGTTTCATCTGCCTTTGCTTTGCAAGTTCTTTTGGTTTGTACGCTCGTCTCACAATCTGAGAAGAAGTTCACACACAGTTTTCTAATATCCCATATTTGAAAGGCGTCATGATAACTCCGGGTTCAAAATGCTTTTTTACAGCATAGCATCAGCTGCACGGGGCATTCACTAACCGCATGGGAGAGACGGCGGGGAAGAAAAGACAGAGAGAGAAGGGATCTAAGTTCCAACATCCAACATTAATAAACAGCTAAAATGAAACAAAAACCACCGCTGAAGGTCACGTGAGTTTTGACAACACGTTCGAACCTGCGTGGACTAACGCCATGAGCAGGTCCGCGGGAGCAGGACCATTAAGGGTTAAACACGTTTCACTTTACTTTTAGGTCAGCCCCTCACACATCTTTCTGCAGTTTCCTATGTCTCATGTGGCAGCGTACGGCTATTTAAATTTAAATTAATTAAAATGAAAGCGGTGAGTTCATCGGTCGCAGTGGGCACATGTCAAGACTCAGGAGCGACACGTGGCTGTGCTGGAGAGCGCAGCATAAGACTTTTCTGTCTTCACAGCATAGGATTTTTCTGTCTCCACAGGGATTTCCATCTTCATTGTCCATCTGTGAGTCCGTGATGGAGACCTAAAACTCGTGTCCTCCAACTGCTGCCTGAGCGATAACAGCCTAAATAATGGTGCCTTCTAAATAATGGTGCCTTCGGGGCACAGAACTCCTTGTGAACCCAAAGTTTCATTTATGTGCTTTAAGAAGCCTCTTCTCAACTTTAATTGATGGCTGATACTATTTTTTAAGTAGTTACTTAAGCTTGAGAGAGTTAAACCGACTAATTTCCGTATACGTGAAATGCTTGTGTATATTTTCTGAGTTTAAACAGATCTTGTTTTACACGGTTAGTGATCTTGTAAAACTCATACTTCTTAACTGATATATTTTGATGTTGTCTGGTGCTTATAAGAATTGTATGGATTTCTGAGTGTTTGTGGAAGTCTTAAAATTAATATTACTATTCCTATTATATGCAACATTAAACGCATCACTTTCAAAAATTTTAATATAGTGTGTAAAAGTGTTTCTAAGACCTGTATTTCTGATGCTTAGATTTAATTAATAAACACATAGAATGTTCTCTCTAGGTTTTGTATTTTGTACTCATTAATTAAATCTTAGAAAAACAAAAATTATTAATTATGTTTACAATGAAATATTGAAGCAAAAATGCATCATTATTCTGCCAAGATGTACCCAGTGTATGCATGTACATTTGCCTGTGTTTTATATGCGTATGTAAATAACTTAGTTATTTTAACCACAAATCGTGTTTGCCTACGATATTGACACACATATCACTATCTTAAACAGAAATTCTGACAATTATATTTGTGAACAAAAATGAAATATCTGTAGTACGCTTCTGTTCCCCCACGGAATCGAGCTAGTTTAAACACTAACATTTGTAGTGATTCTGTATAAAGTCCCTACAGGAGCTGTTATAACATTCCAATGTGTACATTTTTCAAACGAATACATTTACCCTCCCACCCCCCACCCCCCGGGAGGCAGAAAGATCTTCATCCATGTATTTTAGTTGAGATCTGAATGATACAGGTGAAATCAATGGAGACAAACAGAGAGCTATTTTAAATCAAAAGCACTAATTACGTGAGATTTCTTAGTTTAAAAGCATGTATTCATTCCATTTTCTTTTGATTTTTATACATAATGAACCAGTGCTGATTAAATACAGCAATCCTTGTCTTAAAAATGATGGCTAGATTACCCTAATGGAACTGTGTGTTTTATTGAATGCTTAGAGAATTTCATTTGCTGAATAAATCAATTAAATGCTAATCAATAGGCCGGTAATGTTTTGGCAATCGTTATACTCCTATTTTTTTTAATTGGAAAAAATATATCCAAGGAGTATATAAAAATGCATAAGTACAAGTTAAAACGACAACAATAAAATAATGATCAGGATTCCCAATTGAAAAAGCAAAACATTACCAGAATCTTAGAAGCCCCATCCTGTTGGCCTCAGCTACTGTAACACGCCACAGACTGGGCAGCTTAGCCAACGAATATTTATTTTTGCATGTTCTGGAGGCTGGAAATCCAAGATCAAAGATTGGTTTCTGGTGAAGAAGTTCTTCACAGAAATGAGTTAGGGCGGGACCCCCAGGTGGTTTGCCCAGGCAGGTGGCAAAGGAAGGCTCTGGCCAGGACCCAGCTGCCTGTCACCTGGACCCTCAGGCACCCTCCGCTCTCTCTGGGGTTTCCGACAGGGCACTCGGCCAGCCCATCCGACTTAACCAGAAGTATAAACAGCCGTCTGAAAAGTGATTGATCGACTAGCTACAGGTGATCTTTCTTCCCGGCATTATCCATACTGTGCTGCCCTTCATTCATTTGTGCGATCGGGAGCTTGCCCAAACTTGAATTTAAATTATTTCACCGTGATGGTTGCAAATATCTTGCGTTAGTAAATGCGGCTTTCTGTGGATATAGTGACGCTTACGGCCTTTCTTTTCTCTGATGGCTGAAATGATGCATGGCATCATTTTCTTGGTGTTTCTATGTCCTTAAAGAATAGGCAATTTTCAATGACTTAGAAAAATATGAACTTGACCATGAAGTTGAAATAAGGTGGCAGTTAGCCGGCAGAAGGGAGGAAATTGCATTAAAAGAATAAAATGTGGGGTCGATAACCAAGTTTACGCCCATCACGACTTCCGGGTGACCAGGTGTAAGACAGTGGTCAGTTCAGAGCCAAGGTCGCTCATTCCAGCCGTCGATACTGGAAGCTCAGAGGGACTTAATTTTTCAAGCAGAACAATATTAAAATATTGCATTCAGGGGACTCTGAGATAACTGCACCCCACTCCGGCACTAAACGAATGCCTCGGACTGCAGCGCTGGCATTCACGGGGCACGGGGGA